TTTTTTCTTGATGAGAGATTGATAATATTTTTGTTAGAGCTGGAAACTTGTTTCTTGATACAAAAGAAATAGCTATTTGGGGATAATAAAAGAAAATTTGTAAATATTGAAGATCGAATTGAATAAAAAAAATTTTAATTTTTTTTATAAATTTCAGTTTACATTATATATACTTCTATTTGTTATATAATTTTTGTTAAGAGTTGTATAATATTTTTTAAGCTGGATTTATCCTGCTTTCAGTGTTACATATTTATTGTACAATATATATAAGTTGTTCTCATCGTGTTGATTACTTCCATGCTTTATTAAATTGTTCCAAATCATTAATAATCACTTCCAATTTTACAAAAATAAAAATTAAGATTCTATAAGGTGAAAGGTCATGATCATGAACTTAATCATACATTTTTTAAAATTTAGTTTTAAACGTTAAATATCACTTGTGTTTTGCCCGATTAATATTAAAGTGTCGATCTAGCTTTGAACAGTCATAAATTTTTGTTTCATTGACGAAAAATAAAAAAATTTGAATGAGTTTCTCATAAATATATACTAATGCATTGCTAGTAACAAAAGTTAGGTGCTAGATTTGGACATGAAATTGCTGACCAAACGCTAGGAAATAGACTTCCGGGAGGCAGTGGGATTAAATATTGGTGCAAATTATACAATCAACGCAGGCAAAAAAAAAACAAATTATATATATAAATAAACATATAAATAATCGGGGTTTTAATTTTTGTCTTATAATCTTATTGTTGTTAGTATGTCTTTGTTGATACCATAAGTATGCTAAAATTTACTAACATTGCAATATTTGTTAATCTAAAAGCATTAATAATGTATACATATAGATGAACTCTGATGAAATATTTTAATGGCTTCTACTTTTCAAGTTTTAGAACGTCAATTCAGTACATGGCGAAGAGGAACGAAAAGAATGTTAGGGGCTGGGGGATGATTAAAATGTAATAATAATAATAATAATAATAAAGGTTTTTGTAATCTTTGGTTGTTTTTTTTTTTTTTAATCTTTGGACGTTTAATTACTTCAAAAATAAACCAATTACCCATTGAGATTGGGTTAAATTGAGAACTTGTACAATACATTCCTTTTAAACTTTTTAAATTCCCTTCTCCAACACTTCAAATCCTCAACTTCAAGCCAACAACAAAACTACTTCAGTTGATTTCCAAGCATTAAAAAACAAATATTAAAGGGTTGTATAGGCTCCTTCTGCCTTCTCGGGTAGTTTAAAAGAGAAAAAAATTTGTATAAATTTTTTTTATCATGTAAGGGTTGTGATGTATTATTTTAATTTGTGATTACAATTTTAAGCGTGTAATTTATTAATTATTTATGTTTGTTTTATATTTTATTATTTTTATATAATTGTTTGATTATTTATATTGAAAAAGAAGTTTGCTAGAATTAGTTATATTTTGTTTGGTGCATTATAAATTATAATTTAATATTTATTTATATGAAATTTAATTTGACCCCTCAAAAAAATTCCTACTCTGTTCCTGTGAAGTTAAGCAATTAACCAAAGTAAAATTTCCAACAGTCGACAAATTAAGTACGCCTTTTACTTGAAGACACGAAGTGGGGAGTAAAGGGGAATGACTTATTGAAATGGCAAAGTGAACCAGATTGATTGACTAATCAGTTGGTGGCAAAGTTTTACATTGAATAGGGAAAAAGAATTTTGTTGTAGACTTGAGAAACATGCAAGAGATGCCTTTTTTTTTTTTTTTTTTTTGCTTGTGCATCACTCACATGAGAAAAGTGAGAGTTAGACGACTTGGAAAGTTATTCCAAAAGCAACCATTATAGACTTATATAGTGCTTAGGGAACAAGAAGAGAAGCTTTTAATGGAAAGCAAATCACACGATTCCTCTACAAGAAGGAAAAGAATGTTGACATTGGAATTCCAATTATAATTATAATAATAATAATAATAAAAAAAGTGTTTGATTCTAACATTTATTCTGTTCTTGAAATTAATCATTCATTTTTTAATTATTTTTAGATTAACTTAATGTGTCTTTAACTCAAAAACATATGTTGCATTTGCACCATCCCAATATCTTAGGGTCAAAACAATGGAGATTGCAAGGATGATGCTGCCATACACTGCTCCTTTATATTTGTTTAACGGATATAATGAACTTAGTGGGTTTTGCACTTTTCAAGGCACTGAATATTGTTTTTACAGGTAAAGAACCCACTCTTTTTGGTCTTATTTTTATTTCATTATTATTTGAATCTTTGGGCTTCTTATCATACTCCATCAATTAGTGAAATTTCAGGCGTGAAGCATCGTTCCGCATGATTTATTGGTAATCTTCTTTGGTACGTTGAGATTTGTCCTATAAGTCTATAAATGAAGAAAATGTAGCAAAAGGATTCAAAGGTGGTCATCTTTGAAAGAATCTCCATCTGAATTAAAATCAGGACTTGCTATTACAATATTATCTGGCTCTAAATCATCAGACCATATAACCATGGGCCTCTCAAATATTCAAATTGAAAATACGTAAATGAATATGGGTTGGCCATAGTCTGCAACTTACAATCCAACAAATATTTCAAATGGGCCTTAAAGTTATATAGCCGCCTTACAATCTGGTCTAGAGGCCCACACTACCTAGATTGGTTTTAGTTTTGGATATCGAACATGGCCCGCAATGGCATAGACTATATAAATTTGGGTCGAACTTTTTGTTTGCTGGCCAATAACTCTGGGTTGAATTCAATCGTTCTTTTTCATTTATCTATTTTAAATCCTTTCCATTTTCTAACAAATTTTACTCCAGTAGTATATGGGAATAAAACAAGGTCACTATTCCCGCTTAATCTGGTTCTCATTCAACTTTTTTTTTTGTAATGATTGAAGCTGATCGGACAATGGCAGGGCATTAATTAGTTCTAGTTAATGTCAAACTCAACATGGACTCATAATGAAGCTCTTTTATTTAGACAACGTAACCAAGAAACCAACCACGACCAGTTTTAATTGTTTTAGGTCAAGAAGTTGACTTCGTAGCTTGGTTGGTTATCGGTTAAACTGGTGGCATAAAGGTAGTATACATTATACATTTAAAGGGATAGAAATATTATTAGCGTGGACGTGTGGAAATTTTTTTTTTTTAATTTCATCGGAACATATTACAAAATGAAATGATAACTAGAATAAATTGGATAGTTAACTTTACGAGGAAGATTTAAATAAAAATTTTTAAGTAAAATTATAAAATTTTTAATTAAAATTAAAATTAAAAATTAAAATCAATAGATTGAAAAATTTTATTACTTAATTTAAGTGTGTAAAATTTTAAAAAAATTTTAATAAATTTTAATATATTTTTAGATAATTATTTTTAGTAAAAATTTTGAAAGAATTTTTACCATTAAATGAATATTGATTAAATTTGAATTATAAATGAAATTTTTAATAATTTTATACATATTATTAATATTTACATTGAATTTTATCAATATACCAATTTAGATTTTATTAAAATTTTGATTGAATCATTTATATTAAAAATTTTTACAAATTTCACTAAAATAATTTCATCTAAATTTGTCTCTAATTTTATAGATTAACTGAAAATGATGTAGAAAGAATCTAAGCGATCTCGAAGAAACTCCTTTGAGTCTAGATGCCATCTTAAGAAGAGAGTACAAAAACTCGATAAAATATAGATTGGCATGTTTAAAAAACAGGACCTGAGTTGTTTTGTGGGATTTCTCCATTTCTTCCGCATTTATGGCGGGGGGTAGGGCGGATGGTCTCTAGCAGCCAGGGGCAACCGCATCATCCATGGATGTTTAAGACATCGCTTAGATTGGGGTAGGGCGGATAGTCACAAAACCACATCTGAAAAATGAATTGTTTAAAACAGACAATTGGTTACAAGGAACTTGAAAGATTATTGATGATTTTGAAAGCATTTCTAGTCTTGAATATTTAAATGTATTTTTCCTTTCCTTTTACCATTCATAATTTGCATTTACAAAGAAGCTAAGAAAAATTGTTAGAAAAAGGATTCTTTAATTCAATAAAGAATTTTTAGTCATGTACATATAAGAAATACTAATGAGAATTGAAATACTTATCTACAAATTGGTAGATCAAGATTTAATGATTTTATGACTATCTGATATTATCTTTAAAAATATATAACTAGATACATATATTTTCAGTTAATTAAACAAACCCAATTATTGAGTTGGTATGATCACTACTCTTATCTGACACGAACATGAACATAATTGTTCATGTCAATTGAATGATTTGTATTTTAAAAAAATATTAATAAATGCATATGCTAACCGGATCTTAATGATCTTTTATTATATATGTTGTTGCAAAGATTGTGAAATCCTAATCGATTCTCTTCCATCAATGCTTAAAGGATCTTATACTCATTGCTAAAATCAACGGCAAGGATTGAGATGATTCATTCATTTCATTTATTCAAGTGTTGAAAACATGAAGATCGTTTTGTAAAGGCACAAAAGAAATTCTCATCTTAAAGATGTCTCAGATCCCACAAGGCCACAACCACCATCAAGAAAAAGGTGCATGAAAGCTCTCGTTGCCCCACCTGAAAGGGTCTTGATCTTGATTGAGCTTGATATCCTAACTCCTAATGGTCAATGCTTTTTTTAATTTCTTTCATTTAGTTCCAAAGTCCCGCCAACCTTGAATATTTTAGCTGGGGGTTCAGACATATAAAACAAAAAACTTTGCCCTACGCTGTCTATAAAATTAATTGTATCCCCAAGAATTAATCTTATATTAATTTGGTCTTGATGGCGTATTATGTCTAAAATAAAGTTTATTGCCAAACTGAATAATTTACTGGTTTCAATTACAAGATAAAAACAAAATCAAAACCACCTTGTAGAGCAAAAATAATATATATATATATATATATAAATATTTGGCTTTTCTTTGGGAATTTATGCTTCTCTAATTTTCATGAGCTAATCCTTTCACCGCAAGTTTTTGGCGAAAATAATCCAATGCGTAAAAATAAACCCTTTCCTTATTACTTTTTCCTGATTTCACCGTTGACAAACAATTGATCTAAGCGTCCCTGCCTCCCGCGGCACCAGCTGACCTTGCGCCATCACCAAGGATTTGTAGATCTCAACGATCATTTTCTCGTCATACTCTTTCAGCGGACGTTTCCCAATGGCTGCAATCCCATGATCAACTATGGCTCCTCTGTTACCAGTACTAACCATCCTGGAGTTGGCTAGCCCTAGCATCATTTTCACGTAGGCATCACGTAGCCAGACAAAGAACTTCTTGGGCGAAGGTATTCTCAGCTTTGCTTTGACCCTGATCCTCCAGAACCTCTTCCGCCGAGTGGAACCCAGCTCCACCCTGCTCCGCCGTGCCCGTCTAGGACCATTTAGCTTGACGTATCCTCTCCTCTTCCAGTACCCTCTCAAACCCTTGTACACGGTCGTAGAAATACCCTCCATCACGGTTTCTTCCTAAGTGACCCTTTCTTAATTTGTTCCTTTTTTTTTTTTTGAGAAATTTGTTCTTGTTTTTCCAGAGAAACGAAAATGGAGGAAGGTGGGTGGGAGATTGTAGAGGGTGATAAATTTCGTATAACTGTGGGCATATACACATGTATATATATATATATATATGTATATATATAGACTAGAAAATAAAGTTTGATAAAGAAATTAAATTGACCATAGTAGTAGTGAGCTTGTATAATATTTAAAGAGGAGAAACATATAGATGCGAGAGGGTGGCGGTCATAAATGAGAGATGCAAATATGTAGTGGCATTTCTCACGGGGTGTCGCTGTCCATATTCAATGTGTTTGATAGCCGTCTGATCCTTACTCCTTCGAAGGGAATTCATCCATAGGATTCCTCCTATCAAATTAATATAGAATTATATGTTCCTTTTATCCCTTATTGGTAATTTGGAATATATCATGTAGTTTTACTTGTCAGCACATGTGTCATGTGGTTTAGTTACTAAAGAGCTTTTTTAATTATCATTGTTCGTTATTTTGGTGATAATCTCCTAATTTGCAAACAAATTTTACATTTGTTGTTTAGGCAAAAAAATCTTCCGGTGAGCTCTATCTTTATCTAGTCTATACAGATCAAATCAAAAGGAAAAGAAAAATATATATAAAAGGAAGAGTTAAGACTCCTGAGTCAACGAAAAGAAGAATATCAAGTGTGAACTTTTGAAGTTATGACTCATGAGGCGGTCCTGGACTTTAATAACGCAATGGGAAGGAAGGATTTTCGTCACAAATTCTAGGTTTTGTTTGAAGCTTGAAAGATCATAATGAATGAGCTACACACCATTGAGGTGATGAAGAGTACAATTTGCCAATGCCAACCCTCAATTATTTTCACGCCTTTGAGGTGGAAAAAAGGCGTTGGAATGGGTGTGTGCGTTGAATCACATGTTTTGGTGGGGGTACTTTTTGTTCGATCATTCATAAATCACACTTTGACATTTTAGGAAGACAACTCTGCAATTTCTGTGGATAAGGGATCACCAACTATATTTGTCTTCCTTTTACTATCATTCATGATAAATAGTATTATGAAAAAAATTTCTATTTGAAAAATAATCAACAACCTATTAATTTATAAAAATATATATTTTTTATATAATTCAGACTTGATTTAAAGATTGTAATAATTACAACATCAAGCAAGTCATATCGTTTTCTAAATTTCAACAACATGATTAAGAGCCTGAACATGTTGATATATCTGTGGGACTGTCATGGTCATCATTTAGGACTAGATTTTGATTTTGGGAGCATCTTAGGACCTACAATATTTAAAACTAACCACCAATATTCCCGAATTCTATCAGTTTTTCGTGTTGCCATTGGTGTTAATATTGTGGAAATTTCAAGTTCATAAAACTGGGAAGATCATACATTTGACCTGTTTATTGTAAGTTTCTTTCAAATGTAGACATAACTTTTGGGAGTCAAAAGTCAAGAGGGTGATGCATTGTACGTGTATGTTTATTTCCATTGATTTATCCGATTAAAGAGAGTGTTTTTAGAGGGTGGGGGTTAGGTGTTGTGCCAAACCAAAGCTGCAAGCTACTTGGACAGTGATGTGTGGATGTGGCATGAGACAACAGGCCGGTGACTTTTAAGGCTTAAGCAGTTAGAATAGTTTAGCAGGCAGAATTCTGGTGAGATGAGGCTGAAACAGTAGACTTCCTGCTGACTTGTTATGTTGAGGACCGTGTTTAATTTAGAACAAGGAACCAACAATTCATACAAGTGACAACAGTTACAAAATGTTGGCAAAAACAATCGGATGAGGTGTGATCAAGTTAGGATTTTAGTAGAGATTATAGCTTCAAGTGACTTTCTAATGTAAGATCAAGTTGCTTCATTACATTAACACATACACTTAATTGGTGGAATTAGGTGAAAACGTAACTGCTTGTTAGAGAGGATTCAAACAGCAAAAAGTAAAATGGCAAAAAAAAAAAAAAAGGATGCATTTGGCTGCAAGAAAACAGAATATAACCCTCAAGTATAGGATAATTATGTTTCGAGGCTGTTGGGACTTGTGAGTTGGGAAGCCAAATTCATTTCTCTGCTGGTATGGAAATGGCTTGGAATTCATTTCTCTTTCTACTGCCAGAAGTTCTGGCCCAAAAAGGATCGATCAAGTGAAATAATTCCAAAATCGCTTTCAACTCTAACCAAGTTGTCAGACTAAATATATAGTAGTAATTCACATCATGAAACTACTCAGTTTAGCCTTCTTCCTGCTGCGCAATGCCTGCTCTCTTCTATCATTCATCCTTACCCGTTAAGCAAGATTTAATGTTATACCGTACAAAGAAAGCCTGACTTCCCTCATATCAATAATACCAATGTATGTATGCAGGGATTCAAGACCAGGATTCTTACATTGCGTTCGCAATGCAACAAGCAAATATCAAATGCCAAATCGCATTCCAAGAGACTAGACTTGAGAATTTGTTATTACTTTATGAAACTATAATAAGAAGTGTAAGTATTAGTAGTACTAATTTGATTTTGCTTCGAGCATGAATGATAGACATTTTTGGTGACTCTTTTCTTTGTAAATTCTGGATCACCAAACTAGAAACAAAAACTGCCCCGAGAACAACATTAAAAGCTACAATCTTTATATTCAAATTGCAGTCAAAAGGATCAACAATAGTAAGTTGATAGAACCACAAAATATCCTAAACAGCTTTAAGAACAACAGCAACTTCAACTGTTTTCCATCTGAGGAGCGTTGGCGTCATAAGATATGCATAACTAACATATCTACATACAACAAAAACAAACCTAACATCGTCATCATTTATCAATAACCTCTCACTTCCTTGTCTTCATTGCAACCCTCGCCTTATTCTCAGACTTTAAATTCTGCCTCTTCAATCCCTCTGGGGTCTTAACCTGACTCAGCCTCTTGGTCTTGACGCTTTTTTTTGACACCTTCTTTGCAGCATTTTCTTTGGGCGTTGAGGAGTTGTTCTTAGCAGTACCTTTCTTGTTCTGGGTTTCTTTGATCGCCAGCTTCAGCTTTTCAGTTGAAGAAATCTTGTAGGAATTCTTGACTTTCACAAGCTTCTCGGAATTCACGAACTTCTTCAACTGAACCGATAGCAGTTTTTTGAAATTTGGGGGCAGCATTTTGTTGTACTTGTCCTCAATGAACTTGGCTATCGCTGGCTGGCTTGACCCTGTCCGGTCCTTCAGGGTCGATATTGCTTCACAAATCATCTGCAATTACAAAACACAAAGTCAGAATCAAAATCAAAACCAAAACCAAAACCAAAACCAAAACCAAAAAAGAAAGAAATAAAGAAGAATTAATGAGTTTAAAGAAGAGGAAAAAAGGGGACCTCAAGGTAAGGAGGATGGAGAGAAGAAGTGGAAGAATTGGAGGTTTTGGTTTCCCTCTTTGCAGAATCAACTGTTGCTTTTGCCATTGTTTTTGAGAGTTGTTTCAGTTTCAGACTTTTTGAGAGAAGAAAAAGAGACGTAATGGAAAATTAATACTAGATTGATTCATGTTTCAAATAAAAGTTTCAATTTCAAAATTGTTTTAGGCGGGGTAGATGCAAACCGTGTGGAACTGTGGAGCCAAGCCATTGGATTAGATGGTGACAGGGTGGATGCTCTTCTTCCCCTTTTGTATGGGGCGGTTTTTTATCATCTATAATAAACGCATGATTATGAGTCGTGGCCTCGTGGGTTTATGGGCTTCACATGTTGGTTTTTTGTCATGTGAAAAACACAGGTGCAGAAAAGAATAAATGAGAAAAATTTTCAAATATTCCTATCCAAGGAAATTTGACCTACTAATGAGTATATGCTTTTTGCTAAAATGAGAGATATGTATATCAATATTCAAGTAACCAATATGATTTATCAATCAAAATCTACGTATCTGAATTTCCATAATACTTATTATAAATGTTGTATTAGTTGTGGCTGCAGAAGACAAATTAAATTAAATAATGGAAAGGCTAATTTAATAGGCACTCTTTATATTAAATAATATTTTTTCAATGTATTGGAATCAACATGTTAACATATGCCTCCTTTAATTTTGTGCAATTTAAGGTTCAAATTGCAATAATCCTAAGATATTAAGTTTAAATCTTATTTTATGTGAGTTTGGTTCAATTTTGTTTAGATTTATTTAATTATATTCTATATTTTATTTGTTTGATTATTCATTGATCTATTATATATTGATATAATACTTAATTATGATTACAAATTATTTTTGTAATTTCATCAAAAAGATGGTAAAAAAAAATTGGGTACATGTTTAAGCAATATTATTAGATCAATGGAAATGAAAACTTTGGTTGGTCGGATATTCTCATTTCCAAAATCAATATCCACCACAACAACATCCCAAACTGATCAATCCGCTAGCCCGTCATGTTTTATGAAGACGATGGTTTACTTTTGCTTTTTGCTCACTTGTTTACATATGGCAAGATATATAATTAGTGACAATTTATATTGACGACAAAGACAAGGGGGGCGAGAATTGAGATCCTTCCCAAATAAATTAATATAACTAACCTTAATAATGAAGCAAAAAGCTTAACTAATTAATTTGTGCAATCAGATGCTGAAGCCCAAAATCTCTCAAATTCTCCAATCTCTATATGTATGTCATCATGCATTATATTAGTATTCCATCAAAATTCACATATGCATGTGCAAAAAAAGAAAAGCATCTTTTAACCTTAAAACTTTAGTTTTAGTCATATGAATCAACGCCTTCCATTAATACCATTTATTATAAAATCAAAAAGCACACAACAAGATCTATTGTCAATTAATTCCCAAGTCCCCTGAATCTGACTATTTTCCGCCTTGTTCATCCTTAAAACAATTTAAGCTAGCTAGGTAGGAAATTTCCACTTCACACCTCAAAAAGGATTTATCAAAGCTTGAGAGCGAGCTCGTTCGCTTTCAAAACAAATCAGGTCACGGCGTCATTCCATGCAAATTAAGCTTTTGCCCATTTGTAAACGAATTGTGGAGACTAGCTAGCTAGGGAATATACAAAGTGTTGCATGGCCAAATGACGTTGAAGATGCAATGGTTGAGCATCGAGTATTGACAAACTAAAAGACTGACATAAAAAATTATAGATACATTTATTTTTGCAGCATCACTAATTAAAAATACAATGAACAGCTGACGATTACATATAAAGCGAAAAACACAAGCAATATTTCTTAATTTGATGAAATGAACCTTATTTCTAGCTTTTGGCATTTCCATGAAATAGTAATTCAAGCAGATTACATGCCCTTCTGGATTTACTAGCCCCTAGCTTGACAGATTAGAAACGGAAAAATATTACAAGTCTAAAACGCAAACTAAAGGAACCAAATCTTGATGTTTCCTTTCCGGTGCATGCGTTTAATTAGAAGAAGCCGAAAGTTACTGAAAGCAATAGAAAAATGATGGAAACTGCAAGCTTCAGTTCCAAATGAGTGGAGCTAGGAGCCGACTGAGAAGGAGGGTTCTGGTAGCTATATGGGAAGTAAGGAACCACTTCGTTGGGTGGCGAATAAACCGCACCTCCCATCACTCCGGGCTGCTCCATAGGTGGTGGACGAGGAGGCCCAGGTGGAACAGGAGTATTTGGAATCTGACATGCATTGCAAGGTGGTGGAGGGCATGCAGGGCACGGTGGAGGGCACCAGCCAGAGCAAGGTGGAGGACATCCACGGCATGGTGGCGGTGGTGATGGTGATGGCGGTGGAAGAGAAGGCGGAGAAGGAGGTGGTGGGCACTCAATTACCACAGGGGGAGGTGGCGAGGGATAGATAACAGGCATGCAAGAATCGCATTTTATTTCTTCTTTGGATGTTGTCTTCATGGTAGTTGATGCGGCCAAAGGGAATGCGAGAAGCAAAGAGAAACCAACCAGTAGCATTTGTATGGGATAAACCATTGCCATTTTTGGAACTTGATCAATAAAAAAAGAAGAAGAACAAAAAAAAAAAAGGCTTAGAAAGTAAGGTTAACTAGGGTATTTGAAGAAGGGAAGAAGACGAATATTGAGAAGAAGATAGAGGGAAAGGAGTGCATGTGTATTGCTGACCGCAGCATGGCTTCCTATTTTATCTTCTATGGCACCATTATCAAAAGAATTAAAAAATACACAAAAAAAGAAAAAGAAATTCCTGGAAAATAAAAGTGTAGACTCCTTCCATCCACATTTTTGCTGAGCATCAATTTGGCCCATCGCTATCAAACCTAAATGAAAACTCGGAATCAAAAAATAATTGTAGCATACGGTAATTAGAAATTAGCATTTAAATTAGGTGGAACACAGGACAGCTGGCTTTATGCTAAAAGTGTTACTTTGGTTTATCGCTCAACTATTATTAAGATGTATAACAAAGTCTCTATGTCTCTGGTGATCAAGATAAATATTTTCTCATTTACTCTCTCGTTTTAATTGGATTGGCTAATTAATGGAATGGAAACAATTAAAAATGACATCAATATATTATAATTTATTTATTTTTTTACAAAAGACGTTGTAGACCAAAAATAAGAAAAAAGTTGTAGATATTATGATCATAAAATTATAAAATTTTTTATAAAATTTTTCATATTATCATCAATTAGTATATAATATATGAACTTTAGGAGAATTTAAAGATACCATTCCTAAGGATACAATCTTTAATGCTTGGACAACATAATTCTTTTTTGAATTTAAAAAAGTTAAAAATAACAAACAAACCCTTAAATTTTACAACTTTATTTAAATAAATCTTTATATTTTTAACATCAAATCTTTAATCTATGTCCAAATAAATTTTTAATTTGTATCTGAATAAATTTTAACTTTTATTTATACTTAAACAAACTTTTAATATAAATTAACCTTTCATTTGAAGTAAAAACTTATTGAATACATATTAAAAGAAAAAAGTTTATTTAGATATAATAAAAATACAAAAATTTATTTGAAAAATAAAATAATTCAAGAATTTGTATTAGCATTTTAACTTAAAAAAAAAAAGCCATTTCTTTGGCATGATTGAAGATTGCATTGTAACATTTTCTCTCGAATCTAAAATTTGGTATTACCATATTTTTAAGGGGTAATTGATAATTTATCATAAAAAATATATAAACATATCTTTAACGGAAAACTAATATCAAACGCATTTAAAAAATGTGATTTTTTTTAATTAAAAATTTAATTAAAAACAAATGATAGGAAAGAACAAAGTTGGAATGATGGACCACTCAAATTGGTGGCTACCCATAAATCAATCCTGATAACCGTTGCGTAACTTGATGGAATTCTGCCACCGACAACCCATAAGTGAGAAAAGAAGCAAGAAAATTAAAGTAAAAAAAAATGAAGACACTTCCTTTGCATAAAGTAATAATTTCCAAAACATATGGATTCTATTACCAAAGATCATAAGAACGCAAAAACACAAATCTCAATAACCGATTGCAAATTAACAAAGGTTTTTTTAACTAAAATTTGGTCATCACTATGGGGTTGTTCTGGGAAAAAAATGTTTTTAAAAAGAAAAATAAAATTATTAGGCAAGTAAAAATGGGTAGTTTTTTAAGAGGTGGATAGTTTTTTTTTTTTTTTTTAAAGATATATTTTTTACTTTTATTTTATTATTGGAAACACAATTTTAACTTGTAAGTAAATTTCTTAACTGGCTAACTTACTCGTGACTCCAAATCAATCATAAACTTTCAAAGAAAATATAGATAACCAATAAAATTTTTGTATTGGAGTTTATCCGCTTAAATTGGTGAATTTGATGGAGAAACGTATTGCAAGCCAAAGGAGATGATGGAAATAATTTCAAATCAAATTTTATTTAATTTTATTTTTAAAATTCTGTATAAAATTTTTTAACTTTTAATTTGCTGAGTTGTTTCAAGCTGTCACACTTGTGACTAGGAGCCATGAAAAATTAGAATTTATAGCTACAAGTTAATTGCATGGATATTTGGGGAACGAGATGGTCAAAATCTTGAATTTTACAAGGAAAGGATCGTAGGCGCTCCTTTCGATTAAATCTCTTGCTTGATGTCTCATTCATTTGGACATTAATTTTTTACTAGTAAAAAGAGGAGCCATTGAAGATTGAACTCAAAGCTCTCATATATTACCAAATTTCAAGGTAGCATCGCTTTTCTAGGATGGGCGAATTTTGTCTCTAGATACCTTTCATTGATCTAATACCACAAAATTGACTATACTTCATAGCGTCGTGCCAATCCATTTCACTCAAGTTTTAACAATAAGAAACTATATATAAAAATTAATATTATATTAAAATCATGTGACTAAAAAGCTTTGAGAAAGATATGTGATCGTATATTCTAACTCCATCTCCTTCCCCTTTTTGTAAGAGTTTTATCCTCCTATAAACCAAAACAATCATTAATTTATTAATATATAAAATAATGAAATTTATTATGACAATCTAGTCTCATAATTAGTGGTTGAGTTTAACTTTTTTTAAATAATTTTTTTTAAGATAACCATAAATCTTTATTAATTTAATTAGTAAAACCTTCTAAACAAAAATCTTCTTTTAAAATTTTGAATGAAATAATTTTCACATCTGTCAAAATTTAATTCATTAACCCTCAAGAAATTAAATTAAACTGTCTCTATGGGATAAAAATTAAAAAATCTTTAATTAGGTGATTGATTTATTTATTATAAATTAATCGTAAATTTAAATATTAAAGATGTTACTCCTAAAAATTTAAAGATTTAAAAAATAAAATAAGGATTTAAAGATTCCAATCATAAATATTTTATGTGATTTCAAGAAATAGATTATTTCAAATTTGAACAAAAAAAAAACATAAAAAACTATACCAACGTGTTGATATTAACATTCGAGTTAAAACTAAAGTTCCATATGGTATATCCTATTTAATTAATTACACATAAATCCATTTAATTAAGTTAATAGAGAGTCAAACACACATGTTTAGCTTTCACAAAATAAGTCAAAATTTCATTTATTGCAATAATTTTTTCTCAAAGATGTTTTTTAGTCGTCGAGTAATTGCATTAAGTTTCATTTGTTTGGCTTAAATACGAAAAAGGACTAGTAGCGTATACTATTTTGTGTTTTTGGACAACGCTCATAAGCTTCATTTATTTGGCTTTATATACACTAATACAAAGGATTCACTCTTAATTCCAATTGCAATCAAAACCATTCACCGTGCAGCTCTCTCAGAATCCGAGAATGGGGAGCCTCAGGAATCCCACGCATCGCATTCTCCTTCCAAATCTTTGTAGCCCTCGAAAGCGCCTCTTCAGCCGTGTCAAGCTCCTCCGGCCTCCACCCAATCCCATCTTTTTCATTTTGCACTACTTCTGTTACTGTCCCGTCAGTGGCTCTTGTGATTGGCTTTCTTGTATCTGCCACTTTAATCTCTGACAAAGGGGACGCCTTGTGGTGCCCGTAGTATTCCTTGTTATCCATAGCTTTCTCTTTCATGTCGCTTTGCTCCTTCTCTTTGCTTTCTGGCCAGGGCGTACCGTCAAGCCCGGCAAAGCACACAGTTTCCAGGACTGCAGTACTAACCGTACGGCTTTGTTGTACAATGGGTTCCAAAGGATGGTTCACTTGGGAACTCTTGAGCCTTAGAGAAGAGTCATGTGGCATTTTTGGTTGCATTAGTGATTCCGTTTCATAACCGGGTTTGGGTTCTGCTTCTGTTCGAAACTCGTTAAATTTATTGTCATCTAAGGAGTTTTCTATGCCCTGCAACGTAAAGATTATAACTTTAAACAATTCAATAAAAAGCAGAAAAAGAAAAGATAAAAACTTTAATAGCTAATTGAAGATCAAAAAAGCGTATGTGATATAGAGAGTTTTATTTGAGGTTCACCCCTGTGAACATCAGGTCCGGCTTCGAGTTCTCCGGAGTGAATTGTAGGGTCAGCCGTTCTTCCCTTAATGGCTGCTCCCGAGGCAATTCTTCGAAAGAGACCCTCCTTTTGGGCTGCATACAGAGCCAAATACGATCTTGGTGCTGTTGTTGTACTGCATCTTTGCTCTTTTTTTTTTTTTTTTGGCTGGCGGTCTCTGGTTTCTTTGTTTGATCGATTAGCAAGGGAGACACTTGAAAATAAGATAAAAAAAAGTACAAGGTGTCGTAGAAAAGAGATTGACTGGGAAAGAATTTTGTGAGGACACGTGATTAATGGGTCGAGGTGGCATCCATATAATGCCTCGTGGTGCTTAGGCGTGGCGTTTTCTGGTACTTTTTTTTTCTCTTACGTGTGTTGGTGCCAGAGGCACCTAGAAGCATGGGGAAGTCGCTGGCTGCCCCTAGCCTGCCTGGAATTAACTTTGTGCTTGACCTAATAACGTAATTAAGCGAAGCCTAACTTTTTGTAATCTTCATTAATCCAGGCTACTCTAGAATCTACCTTTACTATAGTGGCCCTGTTAGCACCGCTTTATTAAATTATTGCAACATACTACTCCAAATGAAATAATGCAATTGAATGGTAACTTGGTTGTTTTTTGTTACACCAAATTTTCAGCTATGCAGGTTGAGTCAAGACACAAAGTAACTTAAAAAATATATCAAAAGGAATTTAGAGGAAGGAGATGTGCTTAGGTAGTTACGTTTAACTTCAGTACTTAAAACCTTGGCGTATAATCTGAATAAGCAGGGGATCATTGGAAAGGGAGGTAAGAAGGACAAATAAAATAAGCAATATAATCTGAATAAAATTGTTCGTCTTTTGTATTCACTCTCAGAAACTATTGATTCTACATCCGAAGCAATGACAATGTTTTTTATTTTTTTTTATTCTTTTTCTGAAATTTAAAGTGACATAAGAACCATGATTTTGATCATGTTTTTAGTCCTTCGAACTGGTGCTGAGCATAGACTTTGCCACAAGATAGAGCCATCAGAAGAAAAGCAGCTTGTTCTTCCTCTCTCAGCTTGCGTCTCCAATCCTGTTTTCCCACTATATGATGCGGCCCCATATTTCTTCCGAGGATCTTAAAACCACTTCGACTAACATCGGTTCCCTTTTTACTTTTACGCTTTTCTGATCTACTATCTCTGTTCAAACCAAGAAGAGCCCTTTTTTTCTTTCTGTATCTGATTCCACATGCATTGCAAAGAGACTGCAGGTAATGAAGCAACAAGATCCAAAACTTAGTCACAAGAAACACCAAATACTATTATATATTAGTGCTAATAAAAGATCATGAAAGGTATATTGTGGCTATAATGAAGAATTTTACCCTCGGACCAGCTGGACCACCTCTCCAAAGAGGCGTTCTGGTTGTGTTACAATCTACGCATCTTCTGTTTATCTCCTTGAATCCACTCTGCTGCAAAATATGCATTTTTCTGATTGAGTAAAACTTGTAAAGGAGCAGGAGAGACTCACCAACTTGTAGCTTGAGAAATACAGGGATGATCAATCTTAATAGCTTTGATCAAAGCCCCTTACAATAAGGTTGGAACCTCCTTTGGGAGATCAACTAAAAGAGGGAAATGGAATAGAAAAACATTTGCTTTAAAGTACTCGAGAGAGGGGGTGAAGGAAGAATTGGAGGTTTATGGCAGGAGAAACAGAGCACAAACAGGGAATAGGAAACAGAGAACTTGCAAACACTTAAGGAAATGGCACTTGTTTTAATGTGCATTTATATGCATAATATACTACTATAAGCTACATTTGATCAGCCAAATCTGCATATAGGATAGCAGGGAACTATCAAAAACCCTAGTTCCAGTATTGATTTACCAGAATACCCCTTTATGTCTCCAAAATTTAAGAGTAGAGAACCTAATAAATTCCATGGAAAAGTTTAGAGCACCCAAGTGAACAGTATGGTTCCCTTTTCTTTATTGCTATTCGGCTAGGGAAAACAAACTTTATGCAAACAGTCAAGTGGGCACCACTGCACCACAAAGAGAAAAAAAAGCGTAGGATCTCTTATTATAAAATGTTTCTTTCTAGTTATTCGATAGCTCAAAAACATGGCTAACAAAGTATTAATATTCATTTCAAGGTGTCAGCTAGTATTACCAAGATTATAAATGGGATTGACACAGTTCACCTGTTTCTAATTGCTCTGAGCATCTCACAGTCAACTCGAAGCAGATAAAAGGAGGATTAGGGAAGGGGGGGAGCCGGGGAGGAAGTTTACAGTCACTTTTGTGGTCAGAAATAGAGAATAAAACCAAAATATTCCCGGTCATATTTTCTTCATGTAATAGCCTATTAGAATAATTATGATTAAAAATTTATTTACCAAAAATTAAATGCCAGCATTCTGCATTTTGTTCTTTTAGCATATATGACAGGATTATTTATAGCATAGTGCCATTAAGAGGCCGGAAACACCCCAAAAAACAAAAATGGTGGTGCCACCCTCCCCCTTCCTTGGGGGCGGCTGTGGCAAGCTTATTTGTCCTAATGGTTTTTGGATTTTACTCTTTGGGCTTTTTGTCTCTGTTGCATACCAAAAGAATGACAAAGACTTCTACATTCCCAAAATTTACCAAATGATGAATGTAAGTGAAGGTGAATCCAGTGATAATAGGGATACTAGAAAGAGCCAGATCATGAGAAGTTCCTTTCTTTGTTCAAAATTTTTGGAAATTAGTTATTTCAAAGACAAACTGAAGGTACCAAATGAAGAGATAAACGATACCGAAACGGACAAAACCCGGCCCATATATTCTGGCTCATATGAAAAGGCAGCCACCCACTAGTTTACATCTTTGTCTGCAACGCCAGACAAAAAGGTGCATCTAATAAAGAACATAGAAGTTGGAACCCATCTTTTTTTACTTGTAAATTTGTGGTAAGTATGGTCCAAAACCATTAAAAATTACAAAATGAAACTACTGACAAGCATTTTTGTGGAATAAAGGGTGGTATGGTACTGTTACTGTGCTCCCCACTAATAATCCCAAAAAATTAATCGCTTCTCTTTCGTTTTTTTTTTTTCTTTTCCTTTTCCATTTCACTTCCAACGCACCCAGTACAAAAAGCCCTAGATCTTTTGAGCTAGGAGTCCGATGAGGGTGAAAAAAAAACTTAACATTGTTGTCACTACTTCACCTGGTATATCTTGAAAGATGTTGTCTTACTAATAACTGGTACTCTCGAGGACATGAAATCGTGAGAAAAAAAGCTGGTTTATGTTGGTTTTTAGTGATGTTGTAACAAGTCACCATATAGTTGTATTTTAGTACAGTGCCTGTTTACAGAGAGCGGATTATAAAGTCTAAAATATAGCCTTGACGGTTGAGTTTTTATTCAGAACAGCTCGAGGAAATCTCATTGCCGAAATGGATAGAACTACAGAAATGAACAGTAGGATGAGCCCAATCTCTTGTTCTCCCTGGAAAATAAGTGCTGCAAGTGAAAGCAGTGTGGATGTGGAATCCATGCTCTTTCAGATGGAAGTTATTTGAAATTTCTGAACCTTAAATGGGAATCAGTGATATAGATTAGGGCCCAATTGGAACCTAATCCTCATAAAGATCACTTGTTTAGCCCATTGTGCTAATCTTCTGGTGTTGATTCAAATATAAACTATCTAAAATCTATGTTGTGTTTTCTTTGCATGATCAGTCACAAGATATCCCGTACTGCAATATAAAATCCATAACCTTATTGAGGGCAGCCGCCTGATTGCATATGTGCATCACCATAAAATTCAAATACAAACTATGCCAGAAAGACATGTTATTTCTTCACTATGGTGAGAAATTAATACATCAGTGAGTAAATGCAGATGATGAATTAGACATTTGAACTAAGAGTCCCAACTTGGTCTGGCATGTCGAGTCAGCGAGTTAACCTATCTCAAGATCAGTCTCCTAAACCGATCTGCTAAAATGAAAATTATTTTAGTGATGATACACTGCATTTTACAAAATAAATCCTTGGTTAAGCTGGTGATCTCTCGAATTACATCCTCAGTTTCTCTTTCCGTCCGAGTTTAGAACAAACATCAGCTAGGAAAGAGAAGCAAAAACCAAAGAAACGCATTAGCCATAATAATATCAACAGTGCCCAGTCATGGAATTTCTTCTTTGGAAAGTGGCCTCTATCTGAGATAAGCAGTGCCCTGTATATAGCTTCAGTTAAGGCATAGGCTGACACTGGATCAGATTCTTCCACTAGAAACCCATATTCCGTGAGGCATGCTATGTCATAAACTCTGTTAGTCTCCGATATTTCCAGACATTCGCATATCTTCAGCCTGCCGTCTATCCTCTCCTCAGTGGATAACAAGTCACCATGTGTCAAGATCAAGAGAGGGTTTTCAACTGCAACCACAGAGGATTTAGAATGGAGATATGATTAGGCATATTTTTCACAAAATTGCATGGGAATTTGCAGTCAGTAGGAAGTAGGCTAGAATCAAACCACGTATCATAAAGCTTTAACAAGAAATGAGAGTAGTCTTACAAGCAAAGCCATAAAAGTAATTAACTATAGAATAAGAGAAAATTCCTCCAAAGTTGGACATGGTTTTAGGTGCTACACAAATTAATATTGGTAACTGAGTTGCTCTGGCTCTTCATTTTCCCTGAAGTATCTTGATATATATTCGGACAGGGGTATGGGGTACAATCCTAAAAATATATGGAAAAACTTAGAAAAAATTTGAGCATATCTATGTCGGATACATGTCCGTATCTGACACTCACCTTCAAATCTGAGTAACATAGATTGGCAATGCAAGGCAGAATAATACCCATCTCTTTCTTAACGAAACATGATTGAAGGTATTGAAAATTTTTCCAGTTTGAAATTTATGGCCAAGACTATCATATGCAGGCTCCTGATACTGAATTTTAAACATGTATAAAAGCTCTTGTGACAGCCACAGAAACTGACTGAAAAGGTTATATGCCTCGCTTCTGATTGTAACTGAGGTGTGTAGATGTCAATTTTCTTCACAAGGACCTATAAACACTGCGGAGAGATTTGACAAAAAATCTGAAACCTCGACTATGAAATGTAAAACGTATAGTTCAAGGATTGGAACCAGAAACTTCTATAAGGACACTTGCATGAGGACAAAAAGGACCAATCCTTTCTTCATGCCCTCATGCTAATTGGGGAAAGCGTTATTATGATGGTTTTGTGCACTTCTAATCTGTGTTCCTCACCTTTCTTATTATAATTGCAGCAATTAAAGTCATAGTTCAGAGAGAAAACTTACTGCTTTTTTGCAAAGCAAGGGAGCAGAAGAGCTGTCTGGTAGCCTCTAAGGGCTCCAAGTCTCCTGCTTTTAAAGCTTTGTAAATCTCTGCTATATTAGCTACAACTATCACGCAATTCACTCTTCTCTGCACGAATTTTGAAGATGATCTCATGAAAACATTCTCCACATCGTCTGTCATCGTTGCACAGTCACCATGTCTCAGGCATAGCTGATTATGATGAATCCCTTCGCTCATCCAACATGACAGTTCTTCAAGAGCCTCTCTTTCTCTACCATAATCAAATCCTCTTGAATCATAAACACAGAAACCACTTTGCATTGATCTCAGGACGTTATGTTCTTCCATGTACATGGTTGTGTAATTGGAACAACTTCCTACAGATTAATGAGAAAACTTCAATTATCAAAATCGTTTTTTTTTTGCTGCAATTTCTTCTCTGAATATACTTTTAGCCCTTTTTATAACACATGCGAATTATTGATGGTGAATAAAAGTATAAATCATACAACTGAAATTACCTGATGATGTTTGAGCAAAGGGTATTAGGCCAGACCGACCAAGAATACTGTACATAAGATTTATAAGCGAGCTCTTGCCTGAGCCAGAGAATCCCACCAAGAGTATCGTGTTCACTGGAGGAATATCCATATCTTCCTTCTTCATCCCTCCAGTAGGTACCCAGAAATCACCTGACCGATACCCAAGAAGCTTGTGCCGTAGCTCGTTTAGTCCATCAGGTGCAATTAGAGCCCATCTCTCTAACTCTCTAAGCAGTCTGAGCCTAGGCGTTAGAATGGAAACGTCAGGAAAGTACAGCTTGAGCTTAGCACATTCATCGAATTTTGCAGCTGTTCTCCACCAACAACATGCCAATCTACAAGATTCACAGTCTTCTTCATCAACACAAGATACTTGGCTTTTCATCTCTTTTTCTGTGACGTTCGCCGATTCAAATCAAACAATAATGGTTAGCCTATGCAGTTGATTTTTGAATCTGTGACTGAACAGTTTTCAGTCTAATGACACGGTCGCACTGTTGCGAATAAGGTTTGAGGTCATAAAGAGATACATGGCAAAAACAGTGCTTCAAAGCCCATCCAGACGTGTACAATCTTGTTCACGTGAACTAATGTCGATCTGGATTCCAAGCCAGCTTCCAGGCTCCTGCCTGTACAGATGCTAGTTCATTTTCGGTAGTTACAACTTCCAACGTCCATGATTTTACAAAATTACCCTCATCACAAAGTTTTCATAATTATCATGGCACCGGTACTTTCGTCACACCGAGATGCCAAAGGCCCTACCACCATGTTTCCAATGAAATCATTGAGATGAGTTAAACCTCATAGCCGTTGCCTAGCACCATTGTCTCAACGTCCGGGCCGCAAGATGAAGTTAACCAATTTTGACATATCAAAGGCATTGCAAAACGTGGAATGCATGCTTCTCCCGATTAGGGGCCGCACTTTCCAAGAACTGCCCCACACGCGGGGTAAGGGACGTTCATGCAAAATTCAGAACAGGCCACTTTTCCTCGCACTTGCAAATCTAAAAGATTTGGGTACAATGAAAGGGTTCAGACTATTTGGGTATAAATCAAATTCCATTCAGAAAGACCGGACAAGTTTAACAAACACTATAACTTTTAACTCTAATACATCCTTCTTGTTTTTGACAATGATACATTACTGGAAAAGAAAATTTTCCCTTCTCAAAACTGATATTGGTGCTGAGTAATGAGTCCACAACTATCACCAAATGAAATTTGAAAAGATTAAATAAAAAACAAAGACTGATATAATAAAGGAAGCAAATACATCTTTTTCACACAAGAACGGGCATAAATTGGGACTGACATAGAAGGGAGGAAAACCAGAAGTTGGAATATGGGGCTGCGCACCTCACCCTTGCATCTGAGAATTAGGATGCTGAAAAAGAATAACTACCACATAGAAAAGTAAAAAAGTATTTGTATGGCTTCCAGACTCTTCAAACGTTTTTACCATGGTATCATACACCCGTCTTTATTGAGATGACTTCTTAAGAACATAATTTTGGCATCACTTCAACTATTGTGAATTCCCAAAAACACCAAGAAAATACTGACCTTTGAGCTTCATTCTCCTCCAAGTGTCCTGCAAATTCCTAATCACGTTAGAACATATAACCAAGCCACAACATATTAAGTGTTGTCATATTATAAATTTAAAACTTTCTGAGCAATTAGGCCCAGCACCAGCCTAACGGAATAGCTTTAGATATTATTGGCCACAAGAAGCACGTGACCACCTATTCCAGACCCAAAGCACAGAATAATTCAATCTAGGATCGTTATAAGGAAAGCTCATTTTACAACTTTTTGTTAAATTATTATAAGAACACTCATCAGGGGACTCAGATCAGACCGAAGTGATTGATATAACTCATAAGCATGATGCAGCCATATAATCCATATATTCACTCCATCAATATAGCCTATCCAAAAAAATTATCATAAATCCTAGTTTCTTGTTAGACAACACAATATTTTCTTATCAAGGTAAGCAGGTACGAAATTGCAGAACCAAAGAGCAGTGAATATTGCAATTTAACAGATCAATTTTCCTAACAGACTGAGTTACCTTTCATTGAAAAAGGTAATCAGACATAATGCATACCTTCAACTGAAATTGAATCCACCAGAAGGAACAGGAAGTTGATCGCCTCCAAATTGGAACCCAGATTGTGAAGCATCACCAGGGGGTAATGGCTCATCCTCATCTTCCACCCAATATGTTTCAAGAATTTTAACCGCCTTCTCATAGATTTCATTGTTGTCATGACTTTGGAGGTTTTCGATCTTTTCCAAACCCTCAGCATCATCAATTAACTGGGCATACAGATTGACTTCTCCAGTGTGACCCAAATTTTTCTCAGCTTCACCAACCTTCAGAATGTTTTCAAGCCCTTCTAAACAAACTGTAACAATTCTTGGGTCAGGACAGTTTAGAAGATCACATAATGGCTTAATGCAACCTTGGCTCACCAAGAACCTAGCAAACACAAAACAGAAATTAATAATTTATGGAAAATTGTATAATCAAGAACCCAGAGAATGATTATAGACAAGAAAATATACTTTATTTGTTCATGTGTGCCACCAGATGTAGCATTTGAAATTGCCCAAGCAGCTTCCTTCTTGATCTCAAACTCAGCGTTTTGAAGTAGATGGACTAGAGGGGCAATAATGCCAGCCTCAATCACAGCCTGCAAAACATTTCAAAATTCATGCTCCAACTGAAATTCATTCAAACTGGATAAAAAGGCTGCAATTGAAAAGTAAAAACTTCTACTCTTCAAAATTTTGCAATACACCATCAAACTATAGGTTTATCATACTAGCATATAAATTTGCTTACCTGTATCTGATCTACATTTCCAGCAGTGATGTTTGAAATGGTCCAGCATGCTTCCTTCTTGATACTCTTTTTGTAGTTATTTGTCAGCAGGTTCAAAAGGCATGGAAGAGCTTGGTGGCTTATGATACACTGAAAGGGGGAATAACATGAAGCATCAGAGTACTGGAGTAAGAGGCAACCTAAACCAGTGACACAATTACAAACATTGCTGTCCAAAGAAAAGCACGAGACATATCAACTCATAATCCCAACAACCGATAATTTTGTCTGATCCAAATGTAATTTAAGGGCATAGTCTATGATTCATCTCAAAAATATGCCAATATACCATGAAGAAAATGTCAATTAAGAAGCCAAAAACAAAATATGCTTCAATCACGTAAGAAGTACAATTTGTTTCACAGTTTGAAATCTTTACATACGTAAAAATCTTCTCATTTCTAGATCCTTCTAGAAACAACATATTTGAATTTCCAGGTATTCTTAGAAATTTTCTATATGCATATCAACTGTCAATTGAAAACCACATAAAAGCTTGCCAGCTTTCAGAATAAAACCCAGTAGTCAATCTTCATTAAAGAAAATGCCCAGCTTTAAAATCTTCAGAAATTCATTGACATAATCAAATGGGATGAACGTTTCTTAGGAAACAACACTAAAATCAGAGTTGTGATGAATACTAGCAAATTAAAATGTAAAGCATCATTTGTTGTATGCCTGAAACACTCAAAATTATCTAGCTAGCCGAACTGAGTAATGCGGCTACAGATTCTGCATTGACATGAGAAACAGTCTGTCCAAATAATCCTAATAAAAGAATCACCAATGCCCCCACATGGTTTAAGCAACAAAGAAGAATTAGGATGAGTCAGAATCCATCATAGTAATTGTGTAAAGTGTTAAAATAAATGCAATCAACTAGCCAAACCCAGAACAAGGATAAGTCACAAAAAAATAAATGCAATTAACTAACAAACCCAGAACAAGGATAAGTCACGAACCATATCTCAAGGGAAATAAATTGAAGTAACAATAGAGAAAGTAATAACCTGAGTCTGCATATCATCCCCTGTAACAATGTTTCCAACTGTGCGAAGGGCAGGAATGAGGACTGTTGGGGATGGATGACTAACAACAACGGGGAAAATGAGTGAGAAAATATTCAAAAGATCCAGAATTCTCAACCAACTGCTAGGAAAAATAAAAATAAGGAAAACAAATACATCAAATAAAAAATAATCAAATTGAAAAAGGGAAAGAAATGCAGCACATACAGCAAGAGCTCAACAAGTCGGGGGCAAACACCTGCCTCAATAACAGCTTGGATTTTGTCATTTGTACCATCTGAGAGATATGATAGGGCCCAGCAAGCATCTGTAAGGACTTCCTCATCATTTGAATGGATAAGACGCTCAAGAGCTGGCAAAGCTGGCTTTGTCTGCTTATTAATTTTCAAAAGCACCATGTATTAGCAAAAGACATTACGAAAAGAGTCGTAACAACTCAAACAATTCATATTACAAGGAAGTCCAACCTGCTCAAATGAAGGCTGTGGCTTGCCCCTACAAAAGTTTGACAAAGTCCAGGTAGCATTTCGCAACATAGAGAGCTTTGCATGCTCATTGAATTGTGCCAACAGTGGCACCAACGCCCCATGGCCAAGGACCAGGTCACGACATTTAGGCGAGTCACCGGCAACATTTCCTAATGCCCAAACAGCCTATAATTCCCAAATAATGATGACCCATATGAGAATTGAAAATAAACTGTATTAATGAATAGAAGATCACTTACAGAATGCAGTATTTACCTGTTCACGTACATCATCGGTTGGAGAACCTAAGAGTTTAACAAACATAGGTACAGCCCCATGCTCAATTACGACCCTGGTATTTTCTGATGTCCCTGAAGCAATATTTGTGAGAGCCCAAGCTGCCTCAAACTACAACAAAAAAGAGTAAAAATAAAACATTAAAAAGATGAACAATCACAACAATATAAAAGAGATTGAGCAAAATCCCAATAACCTGAAGCTGTGGGAAATCATCCCTAGCAAGGAGCTCAACAAAGCGAGGAACAACACCGGATTCTACAACTTCATTGATTGGAGGACTACGCTCTACAGATAAAAGTAAGAGTAAGAAATAACCTCAAATTTGCAGAATTAAAAATGAATTGCAACAAGCAAAAACAAGAAACCAAATCATCAACCTATTGATAGCAGCTTTCGGAATTGAGTGGTGGCCTCAAGCTGCGAATTTCTGTCATCCGACCAAATGCCCGCAACCATAGCTGGAAGGCTTTCTAACTATGATTTGATTATAAACACATCAAAATCATTTTTAATTCGATAGTAAATAAATACATAATCCTACCCTTTTCTTTATTGAGGCTTACTAAAAGCAATAAGTTAAACAATTATTTCATTCCATTTAATTAATACAGTTTGACCTACCTCCTACTCAGCAATTTATAACACCATTAACAGTACAAAAAGTAATAACCAGTCGAAATAAAGTAACTGCCAATCAGCTCAATATAGATAATCATTTACGGCAACAAGTTAACGCTAGTTATCAAACATGATCCGACGGATCAAATCAACTAATCAGTAGAATATACCTTCTTCTCGGAACCGGCGGTTGAAGAGAGCAACTGCTGTTGCTGCGGTGGCTGTTGTTGAGCGAGAAGCCCTTCGCGGCGTTTTTTAAGAAGATTCTCTTCTCTCTTATTCTTTCGGATCTCGACCATATTGTCTTCTCTCCTACGCCGACCCTCCTCCGCATCAACCGCCACCTTGTACTTATTCCTTCGAACCTCGGTCCTCGCGCTCGGTCTTAGAGACATCTTCGCTTTTTTTTTTTCTTTCAATCTGATTGAATCGCCGACTAATTTGAAGGTGAAATACGATGTACGCTTTTTAGAAGAATCGATCGGTTGTTTGAGAAAACGACAGAGGGAAAGAGAGTGACGCTGTTTTTGGAAGAGAGTGAGGGTTTTTGGAGCGTTATTCCAATTAGATCGGCTGAGGGGCCGAAGGTGAGGAAAGTGAAAATGTTTACAGAGGTTTTCTTTTCTTTTTCTTTTTGTTTTTTTTTTGGTTACTTTCCTTTTCGAAATTATTTATTATTTTTGTGGTGGAATTTGGGCTTCGATATGATGTTAATAACGATGATGCCACCGATTTTGAATTTGAAAGTTGGGGAATCCTAACGTACCTATACCGTTATGGAATCCAGCTCACGGGGTTTTATTAAGATTTTCCCTATGAAAAAAAGGGAAAAATGATATGAAGGAAACATGCAATAATTGAGATTTTTTTTCAAATCCATCTAATATCTATGGATTTTTTAAATTTCGAAAAATGAAAATTCAAATACCGAATTAAATAACATAAATTCTTATTTTGATAATTTAAGTTTTACAAAATTATAAATAGCCGATGACAAAATTGAAAACAAAAAATCTCTAAATGCACTTAACTTGATAGAAATTTATTTTGTATTTTTATATATAGAATTTGTATCCAATAGTACAATTATTTATAATTTAATATTAGGTAATATTTCATAGGATAATCTTTCAATAATTATATAATTTATGTATGATTATTAAATTACCGTTTTTTATAAATATTAAGTGATCTTATATGACAATAATTTTATATCATCAAAATTCACAAAAAAATAATATAATTTTCATCTAAAATAATAAGAAACTTTTATCATTATAATAAAGTGATATACAAAATTAATAATAATTAATATTATCTATTTAATATATAAATTAAAAATTTGTTTTCTTTTAAAATTTTAATAATTATTTTATATTTTCAAACTAATATTTATTATAATAAATTTAAAAATAATTTATATACTTTTTATTTTTTAATATTTTATATGTAATATTTTTGTTTTATTATAATTTAATAAATTAGTTTTATTTTTTATTCAAATATTTTTATAAATTGTAAAAACTAATTGATCTACTAAATAAATTAATAATTTAATTATATTTATTATAAAATAAATAAAATATTACTATATTTTAAAATTATTGCAATTTAAATAATATTAAGACCATTATCTTGTGTAATTATTGTAATATATGTGATTAATTTCACATTTTTAAATAAAATAATATTTTATTTTTAATAATATAAAACATGATAATTTTTTATTTTTATGAATTAATGATTAAAATAATTTTAAATAATGAATAATAAGATTATCTTAATAATAAAATTATCTCGATGATTATATTATTGTAATGACTTTAAAATAATATCAAACTTCCTATCGAAAATTTACTGCAGCAATTGAATGTCACAATTTCGATTTAAAAAATATATATATATATAGAATTGCTTTACATTTGGCAAACTTTGAAGGATTTTCTATTCATGACAAAGCTTTCAATTTTACTATCTTAAAGAGAGAGGGGTGGTAATAGTGTAAATAGTATTTTATAATAATGTTTGATGTGGGATGATTATTTTAAAAGTTATGGTGATGTACATATAATAATTATATTATTATATTTAGTAAATATTTGGTGATTTACTTAACAATAATTTTAGATTATCGAAAATAATCAAATATAGAATTTTATTTAATTTTCATATAAAGAGATAAAAAAAAATTATTATTGATATGAAATGATACATAAAATTAATAATGGTTAATATTATTCATTTAATATATTAATTAAATACTTATTTTTTCTTAAAATTATAATTATTTAATATTATAAAATGTTACTTTTTAAAACTATATTTATTGTAATAAATTCAAAAATAATTTGTGCGTTTCTTAATATTTTATATATAATATAAGTTTTTTTATTCTAAATTTAATAGATTAGTTTTAATTTATAATTTAAATTTGTTTAGATAATTTTTATTATAAAAATTTGTTTACTTATCAATAAATATATTAATAATATGATAATTTAATTATATTTTATTATAAAATAAATAAAATATTACTAATATTTATAAATTATTATATTTAAATAATATTAAAAATATTAAATTATGTAACTATAATACTACTTATGGTTATTTTCATACATTTAAATTAAATAATACTTGATTTTTAGTAATATAAAATACAATATTCTTTAATTACTAAATATTAATGATTGTTACTTAAACAAATTCAAATCACAAATGATAAAATTACCTTGATAATAAAATTATTTTAGTAATTATATTATTATTATGATCTAGCAAAAATACCAAATGTTTTCTTAAGAGAAAAGGTAAAGGAAAGGTTCGTTTACAATTTTTTTTTCATGGATTGGTATTTCACTAACGCATTTAATGGTATGGCATTAGTTCCCTGTTGGTAGTTTTTATAAGGGAAACAAAGAGATGAATTTTTCTAATTACTTCAAAAAAAGAAAAACTAATTGAATACATAAATTATATTATTTTTAATTTAAAAAATCAATATGTTTAAAATAATTATCATGATTTTATTAGTACTATTATCATATAATATTAGTTAAAAATTAATATTTTTATATAAAATAATTAGAAAAAACTATCCCATGCGGAGTGTGGGCATTGCTTTTGTTTCTTGTTAAATTTGGGATGATTCTACCTCTATTTTAATTTATTGAAAAGAAAAAATGAAGTAAAATTGACAGCAAATTGGATTTTTATTTTACAATAAAAAATAAGGGAAATGAATATCTACCACTCAATTTCACATGAATTTTTTTACCATGTTTACAAAAAAAAAAATCACTTTAAGTTGTTATAAATTTACTCATAGTAATTGAACTTTCCTCATAAAAATGCCAGTATTATATATATATATATATATAATTTAGTAATATTTAAATTTGTGCATTATATAAATTTTAAAAAAAAAATTGTGCACTATATATATATATATATATATATAAATTAACATTAGTTTTGAACATTGTTATGATTACAAAACAAGCATAGCATCTCATATAAATAAAAAAAAGTTTATATTAAATGTTAAGTAGATTCTAAATTAATTTATTAAAACTTTATAAAATGCATTAAGAACACATTATTTATACATTAATTATATTAACACGAGTAATTTTTTGAACATGAATGTGTGTATATATTTATTTAAAGACAACGATTAGTCTAGTCTACAAATAAAAAAAGTGATTCCAATTATAACAAATTGCTTGTACTCATACTATACACATAAGAGTAGCTGACAGTAGGCAAATAATTGTCCCTACCGACTTTATATGCTTCATGGACTGTGGGAGGGATTCCATTCCAACACAAGCTTTAGTTTTGTCATTAATACTCCCTAGCATTGAAATGTTTTGGCAATTCCCCAAAATATTATAATCAAAAACTAAAATAAAAGATAGTGAAATACCCATTATAGTATCTTGAGCTTATCTGGTTGATAAAGTTATAATCCATGCGTGGGACCTCGTTAAAGGCTAAAGCTACGCCGTTTTTATTGAAACAATGTTTCCTTATATACCAGAAACCAAACACGCCCTGGAAGTGTAGAGAGGGCAGAAATCATACTTGAACTCAAGAAGATAAGGTACAACAGAAGCATTGACGAAACAGAGACTGGAAATAGTCATGGAAGAGAAGTTATCCTCCGTTGCAAAGAAGTTTACTCCTTCTCCAATACAAGAGCTCTCACACCTTGCTCAGAGATGTAACGCCATAAACCTTGCTGAGGGCTTCCCTGACTTTCCTGCTCCTCCTTGTATCAAAGAAGCTGCCGTTTCAGCCATTAATTCTGACTTCAATCAGTACAGGTTTAATTTGTTCATTATCTTTTTGTCGTCCGTTCTTTTTTTTCAAAGGCAATGGTACTAAAATTTATCGACTTTTGGTAATGGAAGGCATGTGCAAGGTATTTGTGATCACTTGGCTCTTATAATGAAGAGAATGCATGGTTTGAACGTTGACCCTTTGACGGATATAGCTATTTGCTGTGGACAAACTGAGGCATTTGCAGCATCTATTTTTTCCGGTATGTTTTCTTCTTTAGTTGCAATTAATGCCTTTTTTTAAAAATCTTTTTCTTGGTTCAGTTTGTTTATTATTGTAAATTATGCGTCTATCTGGACAGTTATAGACCGAGGAGATGAAGTTGTGCTGTTTGACCCTTGTTATGAAACGTATGAAGGAAGCATAACCATGGCTGGAGGAATTCCTGTAAGCTTTTAGTTATCAATTAGTGATCAGAGCTGAGATTTAAGAATATTAGCCATGCATTGTGTAAAAGCCAAGGATTTCCTGTTAGAACTGATAATTATTGACTCTGTTAAAGTGAACAAAAATGGACATTGCAGGTGTATGTGGCGCTGGATCCGCCTCAGTGGACCTTGGACCCTGACAAATTGATGAGGTCTTTCACTAGCAGAACAAAGGCTATAGTATTAAACAGGTCAGATAATTTTCATGTGTTTTACAGTTAAAAGTCACTCTTAAATCATTTATTCCGGAGTCATATATACAATATATAAGAAACACTACCATATATATTTAGGTTTTTAGCAAAAAAAAAAATGATATGAAGGTCAAGGAAGTAGATGAAAAGGTTGTTGTGGATAGAAATGAGTGACGCAAGAAGATTCAAAACTAGAACCTAACATGATTCTCCTTTGGTCTTTCATACAGCTGACCCCAGAGTTATGAGATATGAGACGTAGTTTGTTGTTGTTGTAGTAAAAAAAAATGATACTATGAAGTTGTAAAACTTGCATTAAGCTTTTATGATTAATTCTGGCTTATGATCTAATCGTTTTAATGCATAATCCGTTAGAAATCCAAAATGTCTTTCTTCTGAGGTTCATCAGGCTGTAACTTGTAATGCAGGTGAAGAAGTATGGAAGTTAAATGTTTGATGAATGAATAGCTTTTTTGTTGCACTTGATTTGTGAAGTTGTTGCCTTCTATAAGGATTATAATGCTCTATACTTGTCTTTTTCCCATCTTTGCTTGCAATTTCAGGTGAAACAATCAATATACTAATGATGATTTATATCATTTATGTTTAAAAGAAATAAAAACAGCAGAGGCCTAGGCATGGCTTGGCTTGATTTTGCTGATATATGATTGGGCAAATTCAATAATATCTTAAACCC